ATCGGTCACGGATATGACGAGAAGATTATCGGGTGCTCTGCGGGTGACCCGACTGCGGGCGATGGGCTGCCCATCAGAGATATAGTGGACATGTTTTCCGAGCGCCGGTGCCGGGCGTTGCGAGGAAAACCCAAGTTGTTTATCTACAACTGTTGCCGCGAAAGTATGTGTTTAGCATATAGTTTGCAATTATTGATACCATGATGTATTGCATGAATAATATTGGTGATTTTGTTGTTTATGGTATTTCAGAGGGCGTCGATACAGCCCAAGTGCCGGCTGACACCTCCGTAACTGCCGGCGCTGTCCGTTGCCGCAAATGTGAGGGTCAGTTGACGTGCGCTAAGTGCGAGTCCACACGTATCGACACAATGACCAGTTTGGACGGCGACTGGAAAAATATGAACAAACAAACGCACGTTATATACGCGTGCGCTCAGGGTAATAATCATGTAAAGCTTCATTATACCTAGCACCATTAATATTTTTATCAAATTGTTAATTTTAATGCCAAATAAGTATAATGTGCAATGTTTATATAATTTTATTATTATGATCATTAAGTTACATCAAACTTTATATAAATGATGCACATATATCACCAGGGTTAAAGACGTGGTATCATAAGGTCGACGGTCCCATCGGTCACGTGAGTGTATTCGGTCAGGCGCTCAGCCATACCATCGCTCAGTACTCGTGGTATAAAAGCCTGTATCAGCTCTTTCTTATGGTTTGTGTTTTTGTTATAATATTTATATAATTAAAACAATTAATTAATTAATTTTGTTGTGAATTGAAAGTCCGTAAAGCGATTGGAGGACGAGTTAAAGGCATATCGCAAAAAACATTTGCCATTTGTTAGCGAAGAGATTATTGATCGCCGGCCGGAAATCAACATGTTTGCTGTGAATAAGGAATTGTATTTTAATCCAGGTCTATACAAGACATAGATTGATTTATAGTTGAAATTGTGTAAATTATTATCCATAATACAATTATTGAGATATTATTGTTTGGAAATTGTTTTCAAATTACTCTTTGATTATGTGTTGTAAATGTTTTGTTTGTAAAGACATTTATAATAGAAATTGAAATGAAAATTAAACTTTTAATTAATTTATATTAAACTTATTACAAGCTTATTATTAAGTGAAATATTAATTTAAGTTTTAATTAAATGTAATATAAATTGCATTACAAAAGCGATGTGTAAGCGAAATACACGGGACGTATTGTAATAATTATTTAATAAGAATTTAATTACAAATAAATAAAACTTAATTTAAACTTAATTGTAAATTATTACAACCGATAATCAAAAACTAATATACAGTCGATCACTGATGAGATGTAATCCCGACTTCTGGTCA